TTTATTTTTCCTGTGACTCACCTAAATCGACCCTCCTCGAGCACGACGCAGGTGCCCTGGTTGCGGCACGGGTTCCCGAAGCAGGCGTCGATGACGTGCTGGCAGACGGCGCCGTGGTAGCCGGCGGCGCAGGCGCACTCGAAGGAGCGCTGCGGCCGCGACAGGCACTGGCCGCCGTGCTGGCAGGGCGCCGCGGCGCACGCGTCGCACTTGGAGAGCACGCTCAGCGGCGGCGGCGCTGCGCAAAACATAGAAGCAAAACCAGACTTAGAATAAAAGTAACAAATCACCGACATCTTGTTGGTCGCACACTCCAGACACACCCGCTACCCGCTGCCCGCTCCGCCCGGCGCGGACTGCGAGTTCAGTCATTTCCGTGTCCCGTATCGGGTCGGCCTAACGGAGGTGGGGTGGGCAATAGACTATTTCAATCTATATCCGTTCAAGACAAGTAGGGAAGAAAAGAAGAACCACCCCGGAAACAGATTGCCGAGCTGAAGCCGGGAAACAAAGCGGTCGGTGGTCAAGCAAGGCGGTACGTACGTGCCGTACGGCAGGACAAACCGCCTTGTTCGGGAGCTGCGATTTGCAAAGATCTGTTTCCGGTTTGCTTCTTCTCATCTTCCCGACTCGTCGGGCATGGACGAGAGTGGTCTATTCGGCGGATTGCCCAATCAGAGAGCATTTCGAGGCACGGATGCAAAGTGCTACCAATCACCGATGTCCAAAACCTCCTCGTACATCAGAAGCGACCGGTCGAACGATCGAACTCGCAGGAGGCGCCCGCAGAAGAGCGCAGCACTACGTCTCTGAAAGGTTTCTGAAGACGAGGTCGGGGTCCCAGGAAAGTCGGCAATTCGGCTGATTGCCCAATAAGAGCGCTTTTTGAGACGACGATGGAAATCGCCCGTCACCTTCCAGAACGTCCACTATGTGCGGCCGCTTAACGGTTTCCAAAAGACCTTTAGAACTAGAGCGAGATACGCATGTCAGACTGGATTCGATTGGCACAAGGAAGGGTGACGCCGCGGTCCCACTTCGACTAGAGACTCGGCCCTGCCACCATGGAGGTTCTCCTGGTCGCGTTCTTCCTCTGCTGCGCGGTGCCCGGGGTGCGGGCCGACCTGCCCGTCGTGGACTCGGCCGCGCCCCCCGAGGCCAGGAGCGCCGCGGCGCTGCTCACGCCGTTCATGGCGCCCCAGAAGGCCACCCTCTTGGTGCTGGGGCGAGCACGCTGGACGGGAGCCTTCGTCGGGGAGCTATCCGCCGACGTCCCGCGGGTGGTGTCTCCGAGGCTGAGCCGCAGCTCCAGTGCATTTGATCTTTACGTTCGCACTACCACACGACAGCTCGACCGCCTCCAATACGCTCTGATAGCGACGCACTGCGTGCTGTTCGTCCCCACGGACGACCTGGAGGAGCTGGTCCTTGTAATGAGTATCTACTCAAACATCAGGAGAAGCATTGACATTCGGGTCCTCTTCTGGACCTCGGCGACCGCCCCCCGCGAAGAGGTGCTCCGGCGCATCTCTTCGTTGAACACGTGGATGGGGGGCCGCCAGCACGCCCTGGCCCTCACCGCCCCCAACGGCAGCACCACCCTGTACAACATGACCTGCACCTCTGGCGCCTGCTGTAGCAGAGAGATGATACTGTTGGAGACGGACAAGTGGTCACCGGCCGAGCAGCGCTGGCGTCTCGGGGTCACCCCCTTTCACAAGTTTTGCAGTGGTCATCGTCTGACGGGCAAGCGCCAGGACCTAACAATGTTCGTACATACAAAGAGGGGCTTTACAAGTACCTCATCGCTTATGGAGCTGGCGAAGAGCGTCGTTGACTTGGTAAGTCGGGGCCGACGGCAGCGGATAGGTTCGGGTACACCGGTAAAGTATCAGCAAATATGGGATTATAACATAGTGCATATCGCAATGAAGGAATGCCGTTTGGCTGGGGTCTTAACAGACGAAGCTCTGTTAGATCTGGATAGGTTAGCGGAGATGAGCATCATACCCGACATGGAATTGGCCGAGTTCGCCGTGATCGTACCGGCGGGCTACGGCTCGAGCGTCGGCGTCCTGGACGCGGTCACGGTAGAATTCTCTCAAACGCTGTGGTTGGCCACGGCGATAGCCACCTTGAGCACGGTGCTGGTGTTGAAATTCGCCCGCAGGCAGGACGTCAGCGGGGCGGTGCTGCAGGCGCTGGCCCCGATGCTGGGACAGGCGCCACCGCCGCCCGCCCCGCCCCGGCCCATGCTGGCCGCCTGGCTGCTCGCCTGTGTCGTGCTGACCGCCGCCTACCAGGGCCTTCTGCTGGGCAAGCTGTCGTCGGCTGTGCCACGGCGTGACCTGGACAGTCTGCAAGACCTCGAAGACAGCGGCCTGCCCTTGAAGGCGGTAGGAAACCTGGCACGCACCAATGTGCTGCCCTACAACATGGCCGACATAACAGAGTATATATCGCACTCAGAGATCAAGGCGGTCATCGACACGATCGCCACCGCTCGAAACTGCGCACTTGTCGTCTGCTTTGACCGACACATTCGCAGCTACTTGCGGCCCTACATGATACCCAGGAGGCTGCACGTTATGCGCCTCAGTTACTCCCACTTGAACATCATCGCGCTCACGACGAAGGGGTCGCCGTTGGAGCGCCCCATCGCCACGGCACAGGCGCGCGCCGAGGCGGCGGGGCTGCTGGCGCGCTGGCGCCGCGCCGAGTACGAGCGCGAGTACCAGGACGACGCCAAGAGGCTTGGGTCGCTGCGGGGGCCGCGGTCCATGACGTTGTGGCACCTTCAACCGGCCTTTGTCGTGCTGGGCGCAGGCCACGCGGTGGCCGTGATGGCCTTCGCCCTAGAGGCGGTGTATGCCTGGCGAGCTCCATGCTGACAAACATTCTGCCGTCCGAATCGCAGCTCTTCGAAAATGTTCGCGATCGATGGGGCACATGCAGGATGTGTTCGCGCCGGTTCGCGCCATTACCAATGGTTCTCAAATTCGTCGAATTCTCCATTTTGACCGTCTTTTTGAGGCGCCGATACGAATCGCCCGTCACGGTCCGCGACGTCCATCGCGTACAGCAGCGCAATCGACCGGTCGAACGATGAAACGAGCAGGCGGGGCCCCCCAATGGCGAAGCACTGCGTCTCTGAACGGCTTGTATAGACCCTCGGGAACTAACGAGATGCGCGTGTCAGACTGGGTTCGATTGGAACAAGGAAGGCCGCCGCCGGCCCCAGTTCGACCAGAGACTCGGAGCTGCCGCCATGGAGGCCCTCCTGGTCGTGCTTCTCCTCTGCAGCGCGGCGCCCGGCGCGCGGGCCGGCCTGCCCGTCGTGGAGTCGGCGGCGCCCGCCGAGGCCAAGAGCGCCGCGGCGCTGCTCACGCCGTTCATGACGCGCGAGAAAGCCACTCTCATGGTACTGGGCAGTTCGCGTTGGACCGGCGCCTTCCTCCGGGAGCTGTCCGCGGACATCCCGCGGGTGCTGGGCCCGAGGCCGAGCCGCGGCTCCACTGTATCGAAACAATACAATCACTCGAACACACAGCTCGATCGCCTCGAGCACGCACTCGTGTCAACGCGTCTCGTACACTTTGTCCCCACGGACGACCTGGAGGAGCTGCTCTTCACCATGAGGACCTACCCGCGCATCAGAAGGACCTCAGATCTTCGAGTCCTCTTCTGGTCCACGATAGTCGACCGCCGGGAGGAGGAAGTGCGGCGAATCCCTCGGTTAAACACGTGGCTCGGTTTCCACCAACACGCTCTCGCTATTACTGCCCCCAACGGCAGCACCACCCTCTACAATATGAGCTGCACCATTAGCGCCTGCTGGAAGCTGACCGTACCGACAACCATCGTCGGACTGGACGAGTGGTCGCCCGTCCAGCAGCGCTGGCGTCTAGGAGTCGCCCCCTTTCACGAGTTTTGCAGTGGTTACCGTTTAATAGGCAAGCGACAAGAACACACCGTGTTCCTCAACACAATGAAAGGCTTCACGAATTTATCAGCGACACACACCCTCGTCAAGTTGGCGAAGGGTACCGTTAAATTATTCAGTCGAAGCAGTCAGCGACGGATTGGTTCGTACTCACCGGTAAAGTTTCAGCAAGTACGCTCATATGTAAGAGTGAACATCGCACTGAAGGAATGCACTTTGGCCGTACTCTTCGCGGACGAGTATTTCCTTTCCCAAAAGGAGCTGGCGGAGATGAGCTTTATACCCAACATGGAGCTGGCCGAGTTCGCCGTGATCGTGCCCGCGGGCTACGGCGCGAGCGTCGGCGTCCTAGACGCGGTCACGGTCGAGTTCTCTTCAGCGCTGTGGTTGGCCACGGGGCTGGCCACGCTGTGCACGGTGGTGGTATTGAAGTTCGCCCGCAGGCAGGACGTCAGCGGCGCGGTGCTGCAGGCGCTGGCCCCGATGCTGGGACAGTCGCCGCCGCCGCCCGCCCCGCCCAGGCCCATGCTGGTCGCCTGGCTGCTCGCCTGCGTCGTGTTGACCGCCGCCTACCAGGGCCTTCTGCTGGGCAAGCTGTCCTCGGCTGTGCCACGGCGCGAGCTGGACACCCTCCAAGACCT